TTTTCCATTGATGTTAATCAGGGATATTGGCTTGAAATTTTTTTCAAGTGTATCTCTGCCATGTTTTGGTATCAGGATGATGCTGGCCTCATAAAACAAGTTAGGGAGGAGTCCCTCTTTTTCTATTGTTTGGGATAGTTTCAGAAGGAATGGTACAGATCCTCTTTGTACCTCTGGTAGAAGTTGGCTATAAATCTGTCTGGTTCTGAGCTTTTTTTGGTTGGTAAGCTATTAATTACTGCCTCAATTGTAGAACTTGCTATTGGTCTATTCAGGGATTTAACCTCTTCCTGGTTTAATCCTGAGAGTATGTATTTGTTCAGGAATTTATCCGTTTCTTCTAGATTTTCTAGTTTATTTGTGTAGAAGTATTTATACTACTCTCTGATGGTAGCTTGTATTTCTGTGGGATCAGTGATGATATCCCCTTTGTCATTTTTTATTGTGTCTATTTGATGCTTCTCTCTTTTCTTTTTTATTGGTCTGGCTAGCAGTCTATCTATTTGTTGATCTTTTAAAACAAATCCAGCTTCTGGATTCACTGATTCTTTTGAAGAGTTTTTTTGTGCCTCCATCTCCTTCAGTTCTGCTCTGATCTTAGTTATGTCTTGTCTTCTGCTAGCTTTTGAATTTGTTTGCTCTTGCTTCTCTAGTTCTTTTAATTGTGATGTTAGGGTGTCAACTTTAGATCTTTCCTGCTTTCTCCTATGGGCATTTAGTGCTATAAATTTCCCTCTAAACACTGCTTTAGCTATGTCCCAGAGATTCTGATTCTGGTATGTTGTGTCTTTGTTCTCATTGGTTTCAAAGAACTTCTTTATTTCTGCCTTAATTTTGTTATTTAACCAGTAGTCATTTAGGAGCAGGTTGTTGAGTTTCCATGTAATTGTGCAGTTTTAAGTGAGTTTTTTTTTTTTTTTTTTTTTTTTTTTGAGATGGCGTTTCCCTCTTGTTACCCAGGCTGGAGTGCAATGGCGCAATCTCTGCTCACTGCAACCTCCGCCTCCTGGGTTCAGGCAATTCTTCTGCCTCAGTCTCCTGAGTAGCTGGGATTACAGGCACGCGCCACCATGCCCAGCTAATTTTTTGTATTTTTAGTGGAGACGGGGTTTTACCACGTTGAACCAGGATGGTCTCGATCTCTTGACCTTGTGATCCACCCGCTTTGGCCTCCCAAAGTGTTGAGATTACAGGCATGAGCCACTGCGCCCGGCCTTAAGTGAGTTTCTTAATCCTGAGTTCTAATTTGATTGCACTGTGGTCTGAGAGACTGTTAGGATTTCTGTTCTTTTGCATTTGCTGAGGAGTGTTTTACTTTTTATTATGTGGTCGATTTTAGAATAAGTGCTATGTGGCGCTAAGAAGAAGGTATACTCTGTTGATATGGGGTGGAGAGTTCTGTAGATGTCTATTAGGTCCACTTGGTCCAGAGCTGAGTTCAAGTTGTGAATAAAGCTGTTAATTTTCTGTCTTGTTGATCTGTCTAATATCGACAGTGGGGTATTCAAGTCTCTCACTATTTCTGTGTGGGAGCCTAATTCTTCTTGTATATCTCTAAGAACTTGCTTTATGTATCTGGGTGCTCCTGTATTGGGTGCATATATGTTTAGAATTAGCTTTTCTTGTTGCATTGATCCCTTTATATTATGTAATGCTCTTCTTTGTCTTTTTTGATCTTCATTGGTTTAAAGTCTGTTTTACTAGAGACAAGGATTGCAACTCCTGTTTTGTTTTGTTTTGTTTTGTTTTTTTTTTGCTTTCCATTTGCTTGGTAAATATTCCTCCATCCATTTATTTTGAGTCTATGTGTGTCTTTGCACGTGAGATGGGTCTCCTGAATACAGCACCCTGATGGGTCTTGACTATGCAATTTGCCAGTCTGTGTCTTTTAATTGGGGCATTTAGCCCATTTACATTTAAGGTTAATACTGTTATATGTGAATTTGATCCTGTCATTATGATGCTAGCTGGTTATTTTGCCCATAGGTTGATGAAATTTCTTCATAGTGTTTATGATCTTTACATTTTGGTTTGTTTTTGTGGTGGCTGGTACTAGTTTTTCCTTTCCATATTTAGTGCTTCCTTCAGGAACTCTTGCAAGGCAGGCCTGGTGGTGACAAAATCTCTCAGCATTTGCTTGTTTGTAAAGGATTTTATTTCTCCTTCACTTATGAAGCTTAGTTTGGCTAGATATGAAATTCTGGGTTGAAAATTCTTTAAGAATGTTGAATATTGTCTGCCACTCTCTTCTAGCTTGTTAGGGTTTCTGCAGAGAGGGCTGCTGTTAGTCTGATGGGCCTTCCTTTGTGTCTAACCCAAGCTGACAATGATGTGTCTTGGGGTTGCTCTTTGTGAGGACTGTCTTTGTGGTGTTCTCTCTATTTCCTGAATTTGAATGTTGGCCTGTCTTGCTAGGTTGGAGACGTTCTCCTGGATAATATCCTGAAGTATGTTTTCCAACATGGTTCCAGTCACTTTCAGGTACACCGTTCCTTTTCATTCTTTTCTCTCTAATCTTGTCTTCATGTTTTATTTCATTAAGTTGATCTTCAGTCTGATATCCTTTCTTCTGCTTGATTGATGTGGCTATTGATACTTGTATATGCATCAGGAAGTTCTCATGCTGTGTTTTTCAGCCCCATCAGGTCACTTGTTTTATTCTCTAGACTGGTTAGTCTAGCTAGCAATTCCTCTAAACCTTTTTCAAGGTTCTTAGCTTCCTTGCACATAGACCAATGGAACAGAATAGATATCTCAGAAATAAGACCACACGTCTACAAACATCTGATCCTTGACAAACCCGACAAAAACAAGCAATGGAGAAAAAATTTCCTATTTAATATATGGTGTTGGGAAAACTGGCTAGCCATATGCAGAAAACTGAAACTGGACCCTTTCCTTACACTTTATTCAAAAATTAACTCAAGATGGATTAAAGACTTAAACAAAAGACCTAAGACCATAAAGATCCTAGAAGAAAACCTAGGTAATACCATTTGTGACATAGGCATGGGCAAAGACTTCATGACTAAAACACCAAAAGCATCAGCAACAAAAGCCAAAATAGACAAATGGAATTTAAACTAAAGAGCTTCTGCACAGCAAAAGAAACTATCATAAGAGTGAACAGGCAACCTGCAAAATGGGAGAAAATATTTGCAGTCTATCCATCTGACGAAGAGCTAATATCCAGAATCTACAAAGAATTTAAACAAATTTACAAGAAAAAAAACAATCATCATGATGTGGGCAAAGAGTATGAACAGATACTTCTCAAAAGAAGACATTTATGTGGTCAAGAAATACATAAAAAACTCATCATGACTGGTCAGTAGAGAAATGTAAATCAAAACCACAATGAGATACTATCTCATGCCAGTTAGAATGGCAATCATGAAAAAGTCAGGAAACAACAGATGCTGGAGAGGATGTGGAGAAATAGAAATGCTTTTACACTTGGTGGGAGTATAAGTTAGTTCACCCATTGTGGAAGACAGTGTGGTGATTCCTCAAGGATTTGGAACTAGAAATACCATTTGATGCAGCAATCCCATTACTGGGTATATACCCAAAGGATTAGAAATCTTTCTATAAAGACACATGCACACATGTTTGTTGTGGCACTGTTCACAATAGCAAAGACTTGGAACCAACTCAAATGCCCATCAATGATAGATTGGATGATGAAAATGTGTCACATATACACCATGGAATACTATGCAGCCATAATGAAGGATGAGTTCATTCTTCTGAGGGACATAGATGAAGCTGGAAACCATCATTTTCAGCAAGCTAACATAGCAACACCAAACACCGCATGTTCTCAATCATAAGTGGAAGTTGACCAGTGAGAACATATGGACACAGGAAGGGGAACATCACACACCGGAACCTGTCAGTGGCTGAGGGCGTTGGGGAGGGATAGCATTGGGAGGAATACCTAATGTAGATGATGGGTTCATAGGTGCAGCAAACCACCATGGCACATGTATACTTATGTAGCAAACCTGCATGTTCTGCACATGTATCCCAGAACTTAAAGTATAATTTAAAAAAAGAATTTAAGTGATGTTTTTCCAGACCTTCTCTTATATCTGCTTGTTTCACCCACTTCTATAATTCATTGATTATTTTTTGTTCATTGTTTTACGTTTAAAATATAAATACTTCTTTCTTTAGTCATCATCTGTTATAAGCTATCCTCATCTAACAGTTTTCTCCATTTTTCAATTTTTGCTAATACATTTGGGGAGTATTCTAATACTCATTTCAGATTTTTATCTATCTAGATAAAATACCTCAGTGTCTGAAGGCCTACATTCTGCAAATGTGGCATTTGTTAAATTTTAGTATATATCAAGTCTTTTTGAGACAGTCTTGCTCTGCTGCTCAAGCTGTGCAGTGGCCCAATAGTAGTTCACTGCAACCTCCACCTCCTGGGCTTAACAATACTCTTACCTCTGTCTCCCAAACATCACAGGTGTGTGCCACCATGCCTGGCTAATTTTTAACTTTTTTTTTTTTTTTTTTTGTAGAGACAGGGTCTCACTAGTTATCCAGGATGGTCTCAGATTCCTGAGCTCAGGAGATCTGCTCACTTTGGCCTCTCAAAGTGCTGGGATTACAGGCATAAACCACCACATCCAGCCCATGTCTATAATAAGTTGATTTATAAACAAAGCAGTTTAGTGGGGCAATGTAGAGCCCAACCTTCACATCAGCCTGCCTGGGTAACAGAGAGCTTGTTAGCTGTAATTCTGGACAAGTAGCCAATCTTTCTGTACCTCATTTCCCCCATACATAAACTAGGGAAAATAATTTTGCAAATCTTATTTGGTTATTAATAAGCATTAACTGAATTAACATATCTAGAAGGCTTGTAATAGCACCTCGAACATAGTGCCATGTAAATTATTGGCTATTAGCATTTCCAAGGTTAAAATAGAAAAAGTATCTTAGAATAAAGGGTGGAGAAGTTTTAAATACTTTTTCTTTCACAGGTCCAGACTATGTAAAGGATTATTTGCCCAAAGTTCATCAACACACTTCCTATGTAGGAGAACAGCATCCCGTGTTAGAAAAAACCGGAGATCTCAGATATTTATGGAGGCCTGCCTTGAATAGAAGCTTCCCAGCAAAATATAAACATGAGTACGTTGGCGAAATTGGTTGGGGAATACCACAGTATAATTTTATCAACAGATCAAGACTGGAGAGTGGCTTTCATATCAAGGTATTGCTCTTAAATTTATGCTCTTCATAGTACACTGTTTTCTAAATTGAATTCTTTATGAATTTGCTTCCAAAGGAAATGTCGGGTGCTTGATTTCTCATTGAGACATAAAGAGGTTCGAATTTTGCAGGAAGACAAATGTGTGAATAAATGCATGGCTCCGCAACACTCCTGGAGCCCCTTTAATGCACCAAGGGAAGGGTATGAAGAAAATGAAGCCATGGATAGTCCAGAAGCCTTTGTGTTTGGCTTTGGAAGGTGTTCTGATTCACATTCAGGCTGAGGCACTTGCACACACTTCCCCCATCCTAGCACTGCGTCGTGCGTGGGTGGTACAAAGAGCAGCCGGTGCTGGGCATAATCTACAAACCTAACACATGCATCTCAGATCTTTAAGATTCACTGTATAGATAATGCCTTCATTTCAAGTGTTAATAATTCAGTGTATGTTGTCAGAGGGTTTTAGAAACCTTGTCTTATTTCCCTTTGGTGATATAGACATAGGCATGAGGTCACGGTGTCTCCTCTGAAACAGAAGAGTATACAAATGGTTTTAGAAGTAAAATCTGAGAATTTGGATATTTTTTTCCAGGAAGGCCTTTGCGTTGTTTGAAAATTGGATGTATGAATCATGCAATAACTGAATTTCCTCAAATTCTTAAGGCAAACCAAGACAGTCTCATCTGGTAAAAGTTAACAAAAGGAAAACTTTTTTTTTTGTCTTTTTTGAGACAGAGTCTCACTCTGTCGCCCAGGCTGGAGTGCAGTGGCGCGGTCTTGGTTCACTGTAACCTCTACCTCCGGTCAAGTGATTCTCCTGCCTCAGCCTGCCGAGTAGCTGGGACTACAGGCACGTGCCACTGTGCCCAGCTAATTTTTGTATTTTTAGTAGAAATGGGGTTTTACCATGTTGGCCAGTCTGGTCTCAAACTTCGGACCTCAGGTGATCTACCTGCTTCAGCCTCCCAAAGTGCTGAGATTACAGGCATGAGCCACCACACCCGGCCGGAAAACCCTTTTTCTGGACCAAACCATTGCAGTCTAGGAGGGTGGATGGGAGTGCAGTCTTAGGGGTTACACTGTGACTTAGGTCTAGCTCTGTGACCTCGGGCAAATGAGTTCACCTTTCTGCATCTTCGTCTGTTCCTCTTCTACAAGTCAGTATTCAGAGGCCCATTTCACAGGGTCACCTGACTGACTATCCTAGTTCTGCCACCTATTAGTGTGTATGGTCTTGGTTAAGTTCATTTACCTCTGTGCTTCAGTGTCTTTTTTTTTTTTTTTTTTGAGATGGAGTTTCCCTCTTGTTACCCAGGCTGGAGTGCAATGGCGCGATCTCGGCTCACCACAACCTCTGCCTCCTGGGTTCAGGCAATTCTCCTGCCTCAGCCTCCTGAGTAGCTGAGATTACAGGCATGCACCACCATGCCCAGCTAATTTTTTTGTATTTTTAGTAGAGACAGGGTTTCACCTTGTTGACCAGGATGGTCTTGATCTCTTGACCCTGTGATCCACCCGCCTCGGCCTCCCAAAGTGCTGGGATTACAGGCTTGAGCCACCGCGCCCGGCGCTTCAGACAAATGTGTGAATAAATTTGTCTTCATTATAAAATCTTAGTTCTAGGTTAACGGGTACACAATTTAATACTCGTAAAGCGCCAGAAGCAGTAACTGGCGTGTGTCAAGCCCTTTATGTGTTTCATTGTTATGCTGTGAGGACTAAATGTGAGAACACAAGGAATGCAGTGGGCACGATCCTGACACCAGGCTGACATCCAGATTTTAGCTGTTAGTACTGTTGTGGTTGTATTTCATTATTTCATTAAATTTAATATTATATTTAGCATATTGTAATATGTTAAAATGCCAGGGCCAAGAAAGTGCGCCGATGATAAGGAATGTCTCTTACAACATATTCCAAAGAAGACCGGTTTCTGAGCATGTGACAAGCTGAGTATAATGAATGCTTTTAAGTTCTTAAACTGTGTCCTTTTCCACTTGGGCACTAAAAAGGAAAATCTGAAATTTGATTAAATAGCAAACTAGCCACCAGCAAGAAGAGTCCGGCCCCAAAGCAAGGCAACTGGTTTGAATAAAGTCCAGAACTTGCGTTGTGTTGGTGTTTCTCATTGGGTGATGATGCCCTGCTCTCGGACACAGCCCTCAATCTGTCAGACCATCTTGAGTGTGTATAGCCTCTCTTCTTCTTTAACGTAAGGACCCATTTTTCTGCTCAAATGAACTGCAATCAAGCATTCTTGCGTCTTTAAAGCAAGCTGGGAATCCGAAAGAGACAATAGCTGTGAGTTAGCCTTCCAGGAATGTATTTATTCCGTATATTAGTATTTCTTGGACTGCTTTTAATCACTGCACTGCTGGGTAATGGGGTCCTCTCTGTCTCTGAGATTGTGAGCCATGCAGTGATTTTCTTCCCCAGCTGCGGCACCCTCAGAAACTGCTTGGAATATGCTGTAAGGGTTGTTGTTTATCATCTGTGCATTTTCTTGGCCCTGGTATTTTAACAGTAATTGTTTTCAAGGGTCTACTGTCACAGATAACAATCTTGAACAATACCTTAAAGCTCCTTGGACTTAGAGGTTTGTAATAGGGAAAACGAGATTCACTGAGAATGACCATACATACTAGCATTGAAGCATCTATAATTTCCTTATCAATTCAGATCTAGGTTTTGTCACTAGGGCTATTAATCTCTCCCTTTGCATCTAAGGCATACCTTTCTGTTTCCATCCAAGGCAGATCAAAATATCTTTTTTTTTTTTTTTTTTGAGACAATGTCTCATGCTGTCAGCCAGGCTGGAGTACAGTGGCACACTCAGAGCTCACTGCAGCCCCCATCTCCTGGGCTCAAACAGTCCTCCTACCTCAGCCTTCTGAGTAGCTGAAACTAGAGGCATATGCCACCACACCCAGATAATTAAAAAACAATTTTTTATTTTTCTTTTATTTTTATTTTTTTTTAGTAGAGACAACATCTATGTTGCCCAGACTGGTCTCAAACTCCTGAGCTTAAGTGATCCTCCTGCCTCAGCCTCCCAATGTGCTGGAATTACAGGCATGAGCCACCATGCCCAGCCCACAGTATCTTTTTTTGCATCTAGACTCAGACTTTGATTCCTTATCAACCCTGTGCTTCAGGCAGCTACTTCTAAAAAAATCAGACTTGGTGCATTAATTGACACCTGAGCTGATACATACACATACACTCCATACATACAAACATGTTCCTAATTACGACGAATACACAAGAGTGGTGGCATTAACCCAGGGCCCGCCTCACAAGGGAGCTGGTAAACTTCTCAGTGTGGTGTCACTGTGAGAAATGTCTCAATCCACTTCCTGTTCTTTTCCAGTTTCTTACCTGTCTGTACATCGTTTCCATATTCCTTGCTCTTCCTTGTCCTGTAATAATCCAAATCAAAATGATCACTTCTTGTTTTAGTCTAACTATAGAGACTCCTCAGTGTCTCTTGTGGCAATTACTCAGAGCTTAGATTTTAAGCAAACTTTCGTCTCCTGGATTTTTATAGCTCTAACAGCTGCTCTGCCTAATTTACTGCTCCAGGTTTATGTAAGACTGGCGGCTAAGGACACTCAGGCACCTCCAATCGAGTCTTGGTAAAATGCCTGGAGCAGCTGCCTCCTACCAGGGAATGGTCTCTCTCATTTGGGGCACTAGGAGGGGTTCTGCAGATCATCTGGCTTTTTGCAGGAAGATAATAACTTCCATGCTGAGTGACACCTGAAAAACTTTCCCCACGTTACGGAGGTCAGTAAAAATCACAAGATCGAGTTTCTTTTCTGGATTTTTAAAATGTTTAGCTATTTCCTACTCTTACATGGGTTACAATGCAATAATAATAAATGTATCTATAAACCAGAACAGACCATTACTTTTATTATCTCAGATTTAAGAGCAGCACATTCTTTTGAAAAATGAATTTGGTCTCTGCCAAACTATATGCAAGAATATATGGAGACAACTGAAACAATTTCTTTGGTTTCAATCCCATGCTAACCTGAGGAACTTTTCTAACTACTTCTTAGCTGGTCGTGTCTCCTCCTAGCTGGTGGTATCGCTGGCCTTTCTTTAACCCAAACCACAACAGGGTCTGCTGGGTTCCTAATGTCCATTTTCTACTCCTGTGCTCTGACCTCGTGACAAAATAATTTACTTGGTTTTCTCACAGAAACAATGTTATACTGAACAAGATGACTAACTTTTCATTGGTGTGATCCCAAAGACAATATTAAATCAATTAATCATAATATAACCAATATATATCTTTTAAAAACTCTAAGAGGTAATAGAATCGTGGGAACCCATCAATATATTTATAATAATATGATATAATAAAAACCAAAATTTTTGAGGCTTTGAAATCTCTGCCTCGATTTTAAGTGTTAAAAGTTCCGCTCTCATGAAATAGAATGTCTTTGTGACGGTTTTATGGATATTTGAGCAGACTTCGGATGAAATGTCAGATTTCTCGATGGCTAAGGAATAAACTCATCCAAGGTTGGTTTATTAGGCATTTTGCTCAGTGAATTTATTTTAAAAAGGTAAACATAGAAAGAGCTACGCTTGATTGTTGATTAAGAATGGTGCTGTGGTGATTTACAGCTGAGGAAACTGAGGGATAAACAGGTGAGGTTCCTTGCCTGAGGCCACACAGCTTGTAAATGGGAGAGCCAGAATTTCAACCCAAGTCATGTGAAATAAGGACTCAGAGGAATACAGGATGTATGAAATGCAATGATAGGCAATGAGTTAGAATATTAGGTTGGAACCACTTTATAAAGTACACAGCTGTGTTATTTTTCTATAACGCAGGGTCAGGCTGGGGTCGAACCTACTTGCCTTTCTCTTATAAGGTATACAGCCCTTTCTTCATGGTTCCCTCAGTTGTCTCGTAGCATCTGACTGGCATCATTTGCACACAATATAATTCATTTATAATATCAATAAATAGTAGAGGCTGG